AAGATGATACTCACCCTGACTGTGCTTTTACCTTCCCCGGACACAAATGACAACATGCATTTCACACAGCTCTCAGTAACGCACGTCCTAGACTCAAGCCATTGACTTCCCCCTTCTCTACAAGCTTCCAATACGCTGCTCTCTAAGGCCGCTTGCACCCATGGACGTGAGCCTGGAAACTTTGGCGAGGCAGACAAGTAACAGACAAGCAGAGCAGGGAAACCGAGGCACACAAAGTAATGCGAAAGGCTCATTATCACATTCAAGATTGCGCTTTGGCCTGAATGTGCTGCCTGTTGCATGCAAGGTCTCCAAGACTGTATTGAAGAGGAGCCTAGAACTGAAGCAAATGTATCAAATAATTGAAATGTTCTGTAATTTATTTTAATGAAGATAGATTACTGGTATTTATAAATACAACAGAAATAACTGGTTCTGTTGGCTTAAGATGAAATAAGTCTCTTCAGACTACAGACTGGCTTGGAGTTGGCATAGTGTCGTAATCATCTGAATAGTGCTGATACTGGTCAGTGAGAAGAGGCTGATGTAATTCATCCTTGTTTTTCCTGGAGTGCACAATACATGTAGTGCCAACAAAAATAATTGCAACAAGAATCAGTGCAGTCACTATTGCAATAGTTATGATCTCTGTGATGTGGAAAGCTCGGGCTAGTGGAACAAAAACAGGAATAGGGGAAACAAAGTTAAATTACTAGGGAAGCAATTGAAAGTTATACCAAAGTCACATAGCCATTGTTATTTAATAACACTCTAAAGAAAAAATATAGTTTCATGTCACATTAGGAAAGTTTAGAAAATGATTTGCTATTGCAAATATAAAATAATTGCCTCTTAGATCAAAATATCTCCTGTCTGGCATAGATAAACACTTTTTTGTTTTGCAGAATGGGAAATTTAAATTTCACCTAGCCTGAGCCATAAAGGTCTTCATCCTTTATTTGGCTTTTGTTGGAGGACTCATACTTCTTTGTAGAATCTATTGACTTCACTGGGATTTCACATAGACACACATGTGTCTTCTTCTATGGGTAAAGTGCTTAAGGCAAAATTCTGTTTCACTTCACCTAGCAAACAACCAGAGGGCAGTTTGAGACTAATTCTTGACTGTTGTGTTGGAGTGATTCTATCCCCTCTGGACAAATAAAATTATAGAAATAGGGAGACATTTGTGCATATCCTGGAATGGCAATGAGATTCCTATAAGGGCAAAATTATATGCCTAAAAGAGCCAATAGAATAGCTCTTCCACAATAGTCAGGTAACTCAGAGTTAGTCTCAAGCAGTCATCCAAGATGTAAAAGAGAATTCTGCTCTTTGTTTCTAAAACAGAACTTCAAAGTTTGTTAATCTTTAGGGTTTTGGTTCAGTTCATCAGTGTTATGATTAAGGGTTTATACAGGCTCTAAATGATACAGGTTAGTCCAGTTTTAAAGCTAGTTATTCAAAAGTATTTTAGAACAATATCCAAATACAATTTGTGCAATTTAAAGCCAGCTTTATTAAATGGAACACTGATGCACATATACAAAATGAAGAAAGATGTAATAAGAAGATGGTGAGAGAGATCCAGGTTATAGGTATTTACCTGGCCATTGAACTTGATAACTGTAGCCCAGGCTTTCTGGTGCAGCAACAAACATCTGATCATTGGGAATTGGGGGCCAAAATGGCACCATGTTATACTGTCGGTTATGTCCAATGGGGGCATTTTCTAGTGGATATATGGAGATATCTAATTGGAAAGCAAGATATTTATTAACCTTTTAATAAATATTAAAAAAAAGAATATTCAAATGGTGTTCTGGAATCATTTATCTATACAACGGGCAGAAAGAGTAAAATATTTAAATATTTTTTTTCACAGTGACACTGAGGATCAGAGCACAAGATTTCTTTGAATGGACCAATTATCTAAATGAAACAAAAGATAGTTCAACCCAATATTTTAAAATGTGAGTCATGAGTTTGGGTGCCTGAGTCACCTTAAAAGAATCTAGTTTTCAAAGAAGGATACCCAGCTCTAAATGAAAAAAAAAATCAAGCCTTCTTAAGGTATCTCCGTTTGATACCAAATAACAAATCACTTTAAAAATGCAGGCCTGTGCTTATAGCAGTGGTGACTATACTTTGTGTGTAGCAGAGCTGTGCAAGGAATGGGCCAATATCTGGGTGAAATAATATATTAGAATAATGTGTCATTCTATTATGTCTGCCAGGATGGCATTTGATGTACTTTGAGTTGCAATGCAAATCAGGAAACTCACCCACCCCTACTCAAATCAAGAAAGGGTGAGTTGGAGCAAAAATGCTCTTTGGAAAATGTCACAAGATCTTGTGATAAATCATGTAACTGCTCTGTCTTGTATCAGGACATACAATAGCCTCTCTCATAGGGTAGATGGGAAAATACATTCCCCTTCTTGGGACAGCAGTATGAGAGCTCAGTTGTGCAACTGCAGTAGTTCTCAGTATGAGTAACAGCAAAAGGCTGCATTGCCTCAATGGGAGCATAATCTCTCCAGGGGCTCCTTGTATGGGTAGGATTTGAGGGAATTCTGCATCATCCGTTAGAATGGTACAAATTTCTCTTTGTGGTTAACTGACTACTGTCTTTCCTACTTTTCTTCTGTCCTTTTCTTAGTAATTAGGAAACAATGACATCAATTGTAAGTGGACCTTAAATTCACTTTCCCCTAGGAAAATGGAAGAATGACTCTTTGCATGGCCTTCCTAAACACCCAAGCTATAGTGGGTCACATGATAGCACTGGATGAGTAGCTGGGTTGTATACTAATTTTTTTCTAAGGACAAAAAAATCCTCAGAGTTTTAATGCACAAAGTGATTATACAACCCTGGGGAAGCTTGCATGATTTCTTTGTCTGTGCTCTACAGGAGACACTGTATTGGCATCAGGTGCTTTTCCATTCCTGGCCAAGTTTCTGCACAGACACAGAAGGCAGAGTGAAAGTCAAGGAGGATTTACCTATTAATGAACTATTTTGCAAGGGTAACAAGGTTTGCTGACCTGAAAAAATAATAGAAATGAACGTGTCTCACCAGCATTATGTCTCCTCAACCATTCATCAAACACAGCATCAGTAAATGTGTGCAAGAGGACAAAAATGGGATCATTTGGGGATAAATGAGTTTGCCCTCCTGTTCCATTCAGAAAAAGATGAGCCAAATTATGAAGGCTTCGAACTGCTGGATCATATTTCCCTGATGGATCACTGTACCCTAGGTATAGAAACAGAAGAATATAGTGAACATTTTCTTCAGAAGCAGCCGTCTCAACTGGTTACTGTCTTCTCTGAAAGGCTATCAAGCTGTTCTGTTGCCTTGTTTAACATAACCAATTTTTGCCTTCTCCATTTATTGGCATTTTAAATGTGTGGCTGCTATACCTCTAGACTATGTAATTTTCAGATGAAAATAATCTTTCTAAAGGAATTCTGCGACTCTGGGGTGCACTTGTTTGTTTGTGTGTGAATCAAGCAAAGTGGGATCTTGCAAATGGGCAAAAGTAAACCATTTTTAGCACCCAACTCATGGTCAAAACTTTGAATTTAGAAGGCACTGAACATAAATGAAACCATCACACATGCAGCTACTAACTGCTGATGTCAATGTAATGATTCTACCCTGTATCCTAATGGGACAGCTGTTCATGCAGTTTTCTACATCTTTTATACATTGACTTTTACCACATTTACTTTGGAAAACTACCTTCTGGCACAGGGTGTCTTAGAATTCTCACTGTAGATTCCCTAGTCTCACTGAACTAGCACTTAGTATGTGGAAATCTGGGTGTTAAGAGAGAATTTTCTAAAACACCAGGAAAATAGTCCAGTGTATAAACTTGGGCCAAAGCTTGGGTGGCAAAGGATTGTTCCTTTAAGGCTGTGTCTAAGTGCTCAGATCACGAGGCTTTGTTTTTTCAGGGGTGCTGACCACCAGCGGCTCCCTACCAGCTAATTTGGCCCAGAATTCCAATACTAGATTCTTCAACATAAACACCATAGGCCAGATCCTCGGCTGTTGTAAACTGGCTTCATTGCAGTTAGCACAGCTACAATCATTCAGCTGAGGATATGGTTCCTTATTTGGAAGTTAACTGCCCAGAGTGGCCCTATCAGAATCCTTCTTACCCCGGGATCCCTGAGATATGCAGCCACCACAGTATAGACAAGCTCATTGCATCTGCCCATGTGTGTGGCACACATATTGTGGCCAGACACAGCCTGGTAGCCCTCAGGAGCTGGCCCCCAAATTGTAAATTTTTTCCACTTAAACATAGGAAACTAACAAGAATAAATAGCTTGTGGTCAAACCCAGAGCTAACACTCTTAATTATTCACCACTGTGTGGCAAACTGGTAAATGCAGCAGGCTACCTGCCACATCCATTTGGGTTTAGTCACAGACATTTTTGTTTGTGATACTTACCTTCTACTGTATTACGGAAACTGTCTGTGGAATTTGAGTAGAAAGGAGGAGTGTCAAACAAACCAACTTCCAAACAAAGAGCCACATCCTCTGGCTCAGGAAGACGTTGTACCATTGGTCGGGCAACATTTCCAGCAGGATTCCTTCGAATTGGACCCCCCTCTGTGCCTGGATTTAGGGAGAAATAAAAATGGAATGGCAATGCATGATTTAAAAATGAGGTACCAAACAACAGGGTTAGGTGAAATACTGGGCTAGATCCTTGGAAAAGTTAAGCTACACTTGGCACAGGATCTGAGCCCCAACTCGCCTGATATAGACCAGACACCAAGGATCTTGCTTAGTATTATTGTAAGCTACCCAGTGTGGGACTCTTTTTTCCTTCTATAGGTGGCTGAGTCATAGACAGAAGTTGATTAGCTTGCAAAAGCCTTTATGGGAACTTTTTGCTCAGGCAGTCAGGGCTACATTCAGAAGTCCCAGGTTCAGTCCTTTGTGGCAGGTTTAACCCCTCAACCAGAGTTGTGATATTATATGATCTACCTTGTTATGATTGTGGTTGGAAAATGACTACGTGGATTCTACAGAGCACATTCCAAAGACATCAAAGGCACATTACAGTATTAATTTTTCTTTAATGAAGGATAGTTTTAATGCATCAGACAGCCAAAACAAATGGGTTCAAAACAAATTGTTTCTTTTTCTCATTCCTACTTTCATTGCAAACTTTTAACCTGTCTCAGCTGTTTTATGAAATAGAGATAATAACCCTTTAGTATGTCAACAAGTCTTATGACACTCAGAGTAATTTGCAATGCACTTTGAGATCCTCTAATGGAAGGCAGTACTGAAAAGTGAAGGGTTATTATTATTGTTATTGTTGTTATTAATATTATTATAGAAAATATCTCAAAATATCTGTCAGTAGACAAACTTACTGTTACAAATAGTTCCCAAAGTATCATAGTCTTCTAGATTTTCACATAGCACTCTCCACTGAGAAAAGATGGAGTTCTGACTGATAAGACTGGTATCAAAATTGCTTCTAGCTCCCATCAAATCATCTGTGCAGATATCACAGGTATTTCCACCAGTAGCAAAATTCCAATAAGGAAGTGCGAAAGTGGGATCCTGTAGCATCTCCTAACCGCAAGAACACATGTTAATGCAGGCCCTCACTCAAATAATATAACAAGAGGATCAAAATATTTTATGATGAGGTGCATTTCAATAGAACTTAAGTGAATTAAAGACACCCAGTGAGACTTGTGGACTTTAATCATACAGCTACTTTGGGAAATACGGCTCTACACACATACTATCAATACAGCTACAACCTGTACCCCCAAATTTGAGCTAGCACTAACACAGATCAACTTTTGTGCAGCTCACAGTGTGAGATGAAACAAGGCCCTAATTATCAGAATTGGGGTTGTCACCTCTGGACTTCCTAGGGTCACTGGCCACTTCTTTTCTTTGAACTTTTTATGAACTTTGTACTTTGGCCTTGGCTCCAGGCTTGACACTTGGGAGGCTGTCAAGCCTTTAGCTATGCCACTGCCACAGAGCTCTGCGGTTAGCAAAGTCAGTGTTCTAAATTTGATCAGCTTAAGCAGGACTATAGGGTAATGATGAAGAAGAGAAGGGAGTGATCATTCCTGGGTTTGCCATTCAATTCCATTTCTGCTTAGAGATGGAAGTTCTCTGAGGTCAGGGTAACCATCATGCTAGCTCAATTAATGACCTGGTTTACTAACCTGTACTTGATTAGTTTATTAATATCTTATTAGATCTAACATTAGAGTAGGTCCTTGGTTCTCGCTTCCCTTTTATCTTTATTTTTAAAAATGAATATATTTTGTTTCACGTCAAGCAGTAACTGTCACAAGGTGGTAATTACCTTACCAGGAATTATCTGATGAAACAGATTTTTATTTAAAAATGCCAGTTATCAGTACTGAAATATTGTCTTGAATGGCTTTAAGAAATTTCCAATGACATGCAGAAGAAAATTACCAGGTAACCTGGCTAACTGCCAGAAAGTCTGAACTTGCAGAGTCAACAACTTGAGATGAACCTACCATAGGGAGGTCCAGGTTCCATGCCAAGTTCAGTTTCAAAATCTTTTACAGTAAAAGCTTTGTTATCTGGCATGAGTGTGGTAATGGCGGTGCTGGTTATCTAAAAATTCTGGTTATCTGAGAGTTATATCTATCAAGGAAGACAGGAGCGCAGTGCAGCCACCCCCGCCAGGAAGAGCCCTGCACTGCCCCGGCCCTAGCCCACAGTGGCAGCCTGTCTTGCCCCACGCAGATACCTTTCCTCTCCCCTGACCCTTCCTTTGAAGACTTTTCTGTTGGGGGGAACGTGTGTACATGCACGTGTGTGCTCAGCCCCACCCCAAATGTTTTTCTCCCTCCATCAATGCAGATATCAACTAGAAGGGGTCCCAGCAGCTCCTACATTGGCAGCGTCACTAACTAATGTAAACAACAGAAATACTTGATGCACGTGCTGGATAGATTCGGAGATGATTCCCATTGCTAAGGTGAGGATTTGTATTGGGGGACATTGTCTCAGAATTTCCTGTGACACTGAAATAATACATTTTAACCAGTTCTAGCAATGATTTCCAAACCAATCATAAGTACTTATTTGTATTAATTGATTTAAAGCACTATCCTATTTTTGCAACATTTTTCCATCTGTTTACTAAAAGGTGCTTGTTTATCAGGTGTTTCATGTGCCTGGTTTCTTTTTTTTTGGTTTTTTTTTAGTCTATGATGTGTAGGCCTGGGAAGTAGTACATAAATATACACTGAAGTTTCTAGTTTCTTTTCTCCTGCTGATGAACACAAAAAATATTTGAGGCTTACAGAGGTCTGCACCTGGTTACGCTCAACAAATTGACTTAGTCTACCACATAGTTTACTAAAAGAATAAACAAAAGATAAAGCACATGCTATCAAGTGTTTAATCATTTGGGAAATGCTGATCGAAAACCAAATTTGATTATTTCCCCTCCCCTATATTTTATGAAATGTATTTTTTTCTAAATGTGTTTCTTTTGCTCAAAAGGTACACAGTACAGGAGTTGATATCTACTTTTTCTTTTTTTATTTAAGGTTATTTATATCAAGGGTGTTTATACTCTTTTCCATGACAAGCAGTGATTTGTGGAATTTTTCCTCATATTGAAACATTTTGAGCTTGAAACAATGGGGGATTGAGTCTATGGTATGGTGCCTGATTAAAGGGTTTCCCTCCCTCCTGTGGAGAGTTCCTGTGGAGAGAAAGGAAAAGCTGGACTATTCCTATTTATGGAATGGAATCTCCTGTCCCCCTCTTTTCTAGCTGTTTGAACAAATCACACACTTCCAAGGTGACTGCTTCTTTTATCTCACTGATTTATTGATATTACTCCACCTCCAGGCACATCTGAGTCAAGAATCAGGTCCCAGAATTTAGAAGACTCATTAACACTTAATTTTATCACCGTTAGCAATTAATTTCATTGCTCAAATTAAAGAATGTAGATGTTCACTTTACACCTGCTTTGTTAAAGGAAACTTTTGAGACAAATTTTGTATTTTTTTTTTACTAGCATCCCTAAAATATTTTTTACTGTAAATATGCTCCTGGCAGCCTAAAGACCTAAAGCAAATCAATTAATGTTAATATGCCTGGTAACACTGGGATTGAAAAAGTGATAGAAACAAGCTAGAAGGATATACTATTTATCCTTCACTAGTGGACTATAGGGAGAAATAATTATTTAATGGTACAGCATAAAATATGAATAATAGCAAGTTCAATACAAATGCAAACTTCACCTGCATGTCTCTTTCTAATTGCAGGAGATGGTACCTATGCCAGGTGAGAAATGCTGGTCCTTCATGAGAGAAATCCACTCCTCCAAAACTCTGCTGCCCTGGACCAAGGAAAGTCTTTCTGACAGAGTAATAATGGGACCACACAAAGTAGTTATAAATGGACACATTCTCGAATTGTGGTGTGTTGCCATCTGGTCCAAATATCTCCTCATGCCTTCTGGTGGCTATGACAATGTCAGGATGTATTGTACTCTTGGCTTGGTGTAGGGCATTGATAAAACGATTCTTCTCCTCTGCACTCAGGTCCAGAAGGTTTCTTCTGACTTTAAAGATTAAAAAGATGTCAGTTATGAAGGTAGAAGACAGGGCAGATTTGCACCTTATGGACTGAGAAATGCATAAGCTTTCATAAGCAACAGCTTACTTTAGCAGATGCTATGTTATGAAATTATGAAGATACTGAAGGTCTTGTTACATTTGGGTAGTTTCTGTGGTTGTTATCCATTAGCAGGAGTACCTTTCTCATGAACTGAGCAGTAATACCCCAGTCTGAGCTAGGCACCAAACTCCGGCCTAAACTCCATTTTGACCTAGAGCGCTGCCAACTTAAGCTTCTGGATGGGAATGAGGCCCTAGAAATGCTCAGGGGATTTATAAGATACACCAACAGCACTGAGTTCAGTTCAAAGTACAGCATCCACAGTCCCTTTCAGACAAAAACACAGTCAGTGAAGGTACTGCTATCCTTCCTTTCATAGAAATACTAATGGTGAGAGCATTCTAATCTTCTGTTAAACCTTGAGCATTGAACACCCAGTAAAATCCTGGGTCCAAAAGGAGGGAAAGCAAGAGGGGCCGTAGCCTAATGTTTAGGGCACTCAGCAGGAAGGGTGAGGGGAGAGGCTGGCTTCTGATCTTTGCTCTTCATATTATATTAGACAATCAGTAGATAACAAGCAGAAATAACTCTGGGAGTAGGGTCCAGAATGCACAGTGATGTAGCAAGGGATGGGGGAGGCAAGTGGGGCAACTACCCCAAGTGCTGAAGCAAAGGAGCCTCAACAGGCGCTGCGAGGCATGGGACAGAGCCATGAGTGGCTCGCTTGGGGGAGTGTGGGGATGTGGGAAGGGTGGCCCCAGCTGCTGCGTGCACTCAGGGGCAAGCATGGAGGGTGTGTGCCCCCTGGATCTGTGTGCGGGGCAAGGGCAGGCTGTAGCTGTGGGCTTTGAGCCACTTGGAGCTACAAACTTAACTGCTACAGCACTGAGACTGCATGGCTCCCACAACTGAATGTCCCAAACATTGGGCTGTGGAGTCAGGCTCCCTTTTGTTTACTCCTCTTCTCTCCCCTTGACTCTTATAGTATAGTACTGCACATTCAGCAGGAAGGCTGGAAGGTCGACCATCCAGATTTTTCTGTAGCCTCATAATTGGAGCCATCTCCTAGGAAGTAGGAGAGGTGAGCTGGAATTTTCTCAGGCTGATGGTTTACCTCCTAGTTCTTATACCCGTTGGGCCAGTACACTAACCAGTAAGCTAGTATTAAAAAAGAGGGCAGCATCACAGTCACTAGATAACACCTACCTTCAGCAGATGATTTGGCAATCCTGAGTTGTACTGTGATGCCTAAAGGTTGTCGTTTAGCCCCATGTGAGCGAATCAAAGAAACAGGGTTGTATGCATAGGCTAAAGGTGCCTGATGTGCAGGCTTCAATCTGACACCTAAACTGAAAGACCCATTTTCTCTTGGTTAGCTTGTGGCAGTTTTCACTCAGCATGTGGAATCTTTGCATCACAATTTAGAGGCATCTAAGTTTCCCCATTACTACATAGGGTGTTTAGGTGCCTATTTCTCTGATCCTCTATCATAAGAGTCGAACGCTAATCATTAGGCACCGCAATACCTCAAATGGAACCACTGAAAGAAGCAATCTCACCTTCTTTCCTCAAACAACTTCTTAAATCAGACAAATGTCCCTTTATTTACCAGCAAGCAACCACTTATTTTAGTTATTACAATTATACTGAAGACTAAAAGCAAGCAGCACTTCAGTTGGTTGAGAGATGTGTGGGTTAAGTCCTGGCCCCACTTAAATCAAAAAGAATATTGTCTTTAACTTCATTTGGATCAGAATTTCACTCAGTAACCAAGTTTCCTAAACATGTGATTTTGCTTGTGATGGGTTTAACTGAACTCCAAAACACTTTGACGTTTTCTGTACACCAGTAATATGCTTTTTAGAAATAGTTATACATACTATTGATTTAGATAACACGTAATACTTCATTTTTATTTTGAAATGTTTGCTTCAACAGTCTCTGGCATGTATTTTGGAGCCCTCATAATACTACATGATTCAAAATGATGATTGCATCAACTCACAGTGTAAAACTGTTTGTGATATCTATTATGTACACACAAATAACAACCCAATAATTGTTTGTAAAAGCCAAACATACAGTGATTAATTTTAGTGTCAATAAACAAGCTTATCTCATTGAGTTTATTTTGGTATAAAGTTTCTGACTTTGGTAACTGTTTAGTTTGAATAGTTTCTAAAGGCTTAGGGGCTGACTACCAGATGTAGGGTGACCGTACATCATGTTGTCATAAGGGTAGCCCTGTTTAAACATCTCTCCTGGGTATCTTACTGGTTTTGTTTATTCTGTGCTTGTCTGCTCACTTTTGTCCTGTTTCTAGAGATTGACTACATGCCTGGGACAAGTGTCTCTCCTGCCCACACTCCTCCTCTCTGCTTACCAGCACAATGCATTGAGATCAGAGAAGGGAAAGGATGTGTGAAAAGATTCATAGATTCATAGATGTAGGGTCGGAAGGGACCTTGTAGATCTTCTAGTCCAACCCCCTGCTCTGGGCAGGAGAGAAAACAGGGCTCAAATGACCCCAGCCAGGTAAACTTCGAGCCTCCTCTTAAAGACCCCCAGGATAGGAGACAGCACTACTTCCCTTGGAAGTTGGTTCCAGATCCTAGCCGCCCCGGACATGAAGAGGGAATATGTCCCATTTTGAGATTCAGGAAATATGGTCACACTAATTAGATGGTGTAATTGACTTAACTCCATTGACTCCAATGATATATTAACTTTTGCTTTTGTATTGCAAGTTGAAGCTCAGTTGGGTTTTTCAACATTAAACTCCCCTTCAGCACTTGGTTTGAGCGCTTCACTGTTTTTGGCTATACTGCTTCCAGTTTCTGAGTTAGCCTGTTTAGCTATTTAGTGCTAGCTCAGGTGTCTCTACACAGCACTGAGCCATGACCTTAATTTTAATTGTGATATCTTTAACTTTTTAAGCCTTTACGTTGGATTGCATTAATTAAATATTACTAATATAGAGAAAAAAGAGACAGAGCTGATATTTGTAATAAACATTTCCTTATATTACAGATCTGTCATATTCCATCAACTCAGATGAAGTTCATCACTTAATTTTAACATTGGTTTAGGGGAAGGGTTGGGTTGCTGATTTTCAGGGTAAAGCATTTTGTAGTAGTCCAATAATACATTTCAACTTTCATTAATATTTGAACCCTCATTAGTTCAAACTGCTGGGCCTTAATAACATGGATACTAGGCGCTTTCCCTTTCCACTCTATCCCTTCTTAGAAATACTTTATCTTTTACAGACCCTGTAGTGATTTCACAAACCATACTTCAAAAATCTTTAAATACCTAAAGGCTGGTATATTTAAATTTCAATATTAAAATGTAGACCACTCAGAGTCATGATCGCAGCACTAACTTACATAGTTTCTAATTGTTTAGATCCTCTGAAGTTGTTGGGAGTAGGTACCAGAATAAGAACTATTCTGGTGATTATTTTTGCAAGATGAAAAAAGTTATAGTTGCACAGGAATTTTGGATTCACAGAATTACCATCAAATCTATCAAGCACATACCTCCATTTTAAGCATAAAATAATTCCAAAACCCCCATATTTTTACATCTTATAATTATTTATATTATTTAGGTGTCAGGGATATTTTAGTCTCTAAAGAAGATAGGAAGTCAAATGTATCTTACACTGAGCATTACTAACAGATCAAGTCTCTCCATTATTGCTGATATTCTTACCTATGTGGATCTGCTGGTCACAGGCAGCCCCAGTCCAGCCAGGTTGACATGATCCACAGTTGAAACCGGAGAAGTTTCCATTGCACCTGCAGGTTTGGTTGAAAAAGCGCAAGGGCCACTGTTCACGGTCATCCCGGCCATCGTGCATGTACTGTGGGCCATGGGGCCGTGAGTCTGCAATTACTGGCATACACTGACCTCTCCCAGAAGATGAACCACAACGGTCAGAGCCAGGGCCAGATAATGGAGACAAATCTGGACAACACTCACCACTTATTAGGGCTTCAACTGTAGCACATTGGTGGGGGAACTGAGCACTAGCTTGGCTCAGCAAGGTAAGAAGCTGTGGTAAAAAGAGAAGCAGCTGTATGCAGATCTGCATAATGACAATCCAAGTGAGAGGGAAACCAGAGGTTCCTCTTGTGAATCTGCAGCTTTGCCTTCTGCCTAGTGAAGCTCAGTATAAACTAGAGGAAAGAGAAATGTTTGAGAGCAAGCACAGTTGCAAGAAACACTTTGATTCACAGATAAAATTACTAAGCCATCTACTTTGCTACTATCTCTTTCAGAATATGGCAAAACCAGTATGATACACTCTGGCTTTGCTTAACAAAAATTTAAAAAATTCTCTTAGCAGAGAAAGGGTCTCAATCCTTCCAAACTACAACTCTCACAGTCTTAATGACAGAGGCAATGCGGTGCTCCACATCTCTCATAGCCCACAATGTACACATTATTTAACTTCACTGGCACAGACTCTTCCACTCGTAGACCTCTAGCAGCTTTCTAAACATTAATTCTTAATGCACTCCTGCCAACCAGACGACCTTTCATCAATACTAAATGCTACAAATTGTGAGGAATTAGTAACTTCAGTCTAACTGTTTCTTTGCCCTCGCATCCCTTCTGAATTAATCTGATACATATCTCTTGTTGTACGTTTAGCCTTCTCTTGCTTCTACCGTCTGCTGTATCGGAGATTTTGTAATAAATGAAAAACTACCAAATCTTCTTACCTCTGTACTGTACCCTCTTTTCTGTCTTTGGCAGTACTTCTTTGATGAACTCCGCCTGTTCTACCCAGGACTAAGCAGTACTAATTTCTTTCCTGTTTGAGTCTGTTTACTAATCCTGGTTCTGCCAACAGTTTGGTTTGGCCTCACGCTCTCTTTCCTATTAATCCTTTTCTACTTCAGTGATTTCCCCAGGCTTTAAATACTCCAAGAGCACATGATTTCTTTCATGCTTATCTCCTTGTGATTTTACAAGTTTCAACAAAGGTCAGTAATTGTAATTGAAACAAAACAATCAAGAACCATGGAGGCTTTTATATTTTAAGGAAGGTTTATTTGAAAATAGATAATTACTTAGGTGAAGAAAACTGAGGAAGTTTATGCTGAATTTTCTTTCCTCAAATGGATAATTACATTTTCAAGAGAAAGGACAACAAAGGACAAGAGTTATATTATTTAAAAAGTAAAATGCTTTTGTTTCACACAGTGAATATTGAATATTCGCTTGGACCTGTGTGAATAAATGATTTTTGGTTGAATAACCGTACCAAAAATCAAATAAAAAGTCATTTTTTATCCCTGGAATGATTTTTTCTTTCTTTTTTTCACTGAGGAAGAACAAAGATGAAAAATGTTGTTTTGCATCAAATAAAACATTACTCAGTTTATTGTAGGTAAAACTTCCACTGACTATAACTGATTTCACCCACCCATACCTTTTTTTCTGAATCCCTATCTTTGTCAACAAGGACTGTCTTCAGTAAGGAAAGATTCGTCAGGAAAGAGTGAAGTATCGGTATAAGTATACACAGTTTCTGGGAAACATTTCAAATGCTACCCAGCATGTAGCAGAAAATGGCTTCTGCAGTCCTTCCCACTTGTATAGCTAAGCTAAAAAGTGAGAGGACTGCACCACTGGAAGACACTAAAATAATTTTTTTTCTAAACGTATTGTTCCTATCATGCTGGGTTCACTGTGGATCATCCTACTGTACCTGGTAACCTGTGATTCATGTCACCTAACCAGAACCTGTGAGTTCTGTTTCAGCTAAATAGGCCCTCAATATCTCTCTGCCTAACACAGGGGTGGGTAAAATACAGCCCGTGGGTCAAATGTAGCCTGCCAGGCCATTCCATCCAGCCCATGGGACCCCTAAAAAATTTAGAAAATTAATATTTACCTGCCCGTGGCTGCCTGTCATGAAGCCCTTGAAGGCTTGCCAAAACTCAGTAAGTTGCCCTCTGCCCAAAATAATTGCCTGCCCCTGGCCTAACACCATCTGAAGCAGTCGAAAGTCAATTTTATGGGGCTACTCAGATATTTCATCTTCCATATGTCTGCAAGGGGCATTTTTTGAAGGGTCAGCATTAATAGGACTTCCATTAAGCTTTCTCCTTTGTCTTTCTATGAGCTTCTCCCTGTCTTCTCCTCTTCATTCTGCCTTGTTTCCTTCAAGGGCTAGAATTTCACTCTGGGCCTGTGTCATTTTGGCCACATGGAAGATGAGTCCAACATCACTGGGTGTGAAAGTAAACTAGGGGCAGTAAAATATTTTGAACTTTGGATTGAAACTAAACCTTAGTTTAATGAAGAAAAATGCATGTTTCTAGTAGTTCTAGTAGCAGACACATACAGGACATTACCTAGAAAAATCCTGGTGAACTTAAAGGGCTTAAGGGGAACTAAATTATGGCCCTCAGAGGAAGCCCAAGCAAAAGGACCATTGGAAAATACACATCAGATGGGCTTGTCAGTGCCTACCCTGATGTTGAGGCAGGGAAAGGCCAGAAAAGTCCTTGACTTATTATAGCCACCTTCTTGTAGGTCACTGCTCAACTTTTTTTTTTGGAGGTGTTTGCCAACTGGAACCCAGGAAGTGAAATTGCTGTGCCACATGCATGGACTCTTTGGGAATGGAAGCAACCCCCTGGCCCTACAGCATCATTACCAGTTCTACACTGCTAACAACACCTCAGGCTGCCCCTGGGAAAGCTTTGCTAATTGGATGCAGAGTGCTACCAGGGAGCCACTCAAGTTTTGTTATGGAACTAAGGCCATACCAGACTCCATTCCATTCTTTTGTAAGCCACTGTGGACTCGAGAAGGACCTGCACCCTCAAAGGCAACCAGTGACGGCATTCCAGGTGGCAGGTGCAGCAGAGGGTGCACGGTGGCCCTGGTTTCTTCCACTGTTTGGAGAGCGACCATGCCCCTATCTGTTATTATTGTTGTTGGAACCAAGACATCTCCACTACCAGGAGATGAACTGCAGCTGTCTCTGATCACACCAGCAGGCAAGAATATCACACGGTTCCTCGTGAACTGGGAACTGCTGAACTGGACTTTAGCTGGACATGACCTGAACCAACAAGGACCCCCAGACTGGGTAGTTCCACTAAAGGGCACACACTATGACAAGCTCATGCCAACAATTTGGTTTAAATTCTATGGGCACATTCCCATTTTGGAGGGATTCCATGAGCCAGGATTGTACAGGGTGGAATTGGGCCAACAACAACAAACAGTTTTAAATTTCAACCCCCTGATCACAAACCTCCCTCTCCTCCAACGTTTAAAGCCCCAATTTTGAGACCCATGTGTTAAAATTGGTTCAACAGGAAGAAGTGGTTCTTCAATGTCAGACTTCTCTGAAGGAGGTTCAAAACCACTTAGATGGTATGAATATCTCTCACATTGCATCTGTTTGTGTTCCCCTGATTGGAACTAGCCATAAAGGTTGGAATGAATAAGTAAAAATGTGGCAAGGGGCCAACCATGTAAATAGACTAAAAAGGGAATTCAGTGATTGGATTGCACCAGTGGGAACCAGAGGCTCTTTAATTGATGCCGCAAATATAGAAGTTCTTGCTAATAAAGTGTTATATGCCACTGAAAATATGGGGAAAATGGGAACCCCATTAATAGCATCTTTGAAACAGCTAAGTGAGGAACAGCAGTTAATAAGTAAGGTATTTCCTTGGTGGGAAGGACTCATAGAAGGGGATGAAGGGTTAAGAATGTCTTGTGTACAGTCCCTCTAAAATAATATCTCATTGGCTTCAGCGTGTGAGCAAGCTCAGGCTCTCACCCAAAACATAATCATGGGAATGATTTGGCAAGCCACAGCGGGACAAATTCCCATGGAAGCAATCAACCTGATTCAGCCACATGTAACAGAGAAAGAATTAGCCCTCCAGCCCTGGTGGAGATTAGTTAATACTTTGTACAATCATCACCAGCAGAGCTTGCAGTTACTCCTGATAACTGTGGCAGGCAAGGAAAGTAGAATAATCCACCCAGTAGTCCCACTGGGATTACAGATTGATGATAACTCCGTAATGTGCTCCAGAGATCATAACACTTGGGCCTGGCAGAAAGAGAACGTGTGGAACACAGTGAATGTAAGAGGGGGTAGAATAAAAGAAGGTTTGGGGTACATATGTGAAGACCAAGCATTGGAGGAACATGATGAATGCTTCCCACAACCTGGAAATCATTTTCACTGTTCCTTTGATGTTATCCAGGAAAGGGAATCTGTTATTGTCTATGTTGGTAAAGCATGTGTGTGTGTGTGAGAACAAGATGTGATATTGTATTGATTAATGGACATTGGATTCAACACATGGTGCCTTACATTAATCACTGCTTCTGTACTGTAACCACCATTGTTACTTGTGATCTTAAGGTTACTGTGCCTATATGGACCATACAACATTTGAATGCCTATCCTGAGCTTTACACGGCTGTTTCTCCCATTTCACTGGGAAAGGGTCTCATTGCCATCAAGAAACTATTAACTCATCCCTCTTTACAAGCTGAGCTGCAAAGGCTCATAACTTTGGGAGAGAATGGCAGCCTCGAGATTCAACACAACAACCAGCAGATCTCTAGGCTGGCAGCCACAGTTAAAAACACTGGCCATCACTCCTGGTGGGAAGGTTTGTTTGGGTGGAGCCCCAGTGCAACAGGTCTTTTGAATATCATGCTTCACCCCATTGTGGTTATCATTGGTTTCCAAATTATACTAGCAATTGGTCTGGTTCTGCTGGGTTGCTGGATCAAGTGACTGATCCAGAGGTTGCAATGGATTGAAGAGCAGATTCTGTACCAGGGAGGAAGGATGTGATGGGGATACTCACTCAATGCAAGCACCCCATCAATGGGGGGACTTACCTGTCGGCTCCTGCGGAACCCTGGCAAAGTACCCAGCCTGTCTGACTCACGAAGGAGTCCTTCCTCTCCACCTCTGTGTGAACCAGAACTGATTAGAAGAAGGACTTACAAAAGGCAATGAAGATGCAGTGAAAGACACACCTAAACCCCTCCAAATAAGGGTGACAGGATTAAGGGAACTTCCCTAGTCCTATTTGCATCAGAGATGGGAAAGGGAGGCACCTCCATTAACATTCAGAATGGAGAACAGGGATTTCAAGGCATGGGCTGCACTGAATTCTAGGACAAGAGAAGCAGGGGAGCCCTGCATGACGGGGAATCTCTGCTCCAAATGCTAATTAACCCATATCTGCACACACCCAGGTCAGCATTTATCAGACTAATTCTAGTGATGACTCTTTTACTGGTACCCAAAACACTGAATCTGCCTGTTTGAATTGTGAGATCCCTCAATGTAATGCCACCCATAGCAAGGAGTGATCAGTTCCTATTATCCAGCATATGACCCATCATTTACCCACAAACAAACTTAGTGTTCTTCCTTGAGCCATTGTTAGTTCTCTACAAAAAGCTCAAGTTTCTGTTCTGGTGGTTGGATCCCAACACTGAACTGGTTCCACTTTCCTGCCTGGAACACCTCCACTGATTGTGCTGAGGGCTCTGCCTGTCTGCAAGCTTCAGCAAACACCTGGGAACCTTGATTGATTCAAGCCTCGCTGAGTGGTGAGACCCCCAACTCTCTCCCTCTCTCTCTTTTATTCCAGGCACAGCTTTCTAAACCTGACTTTTGCTGATCAAACTTGAGCTAGACTTCCCCAAATACCCAGTTAAAACTGTGTAATATTGCAACTGCTTTGTTTGTTTGTCTCTCCTTGTATGGCTATTACTACTACTGTCATTATAAGTTTCATATACCTGGCAATAAAATAACCTTTATGGTTAAGCTGGTTGCCATACTCTCTCTGAACCTTATTTACACTTCCTTCTCCTCAAGCTTCCCATTTGCTCTG